CCGGAGCCACCTGTCCGGTTGTCGGATGATTCGGTATTGACATCTTCGCCCCCGCCGCGGCCGATGATTACGGACTCGCACATTATGCGCCTTGTGACGGATGGTCGAATGGAAATGTTCCCCGCAGTCCCGCCGCCTTCGGCTGACGGAAACGGCGTTGTGATGCTCTCATGCTACCAACGTGGACCGCTGTTACCGCCAACGCCACCGCGACCATCTTCGGGTAGAAATGATCGCATCATGTGGGATTCCTGGCAGACACGCCCAGTGCCGCAGTATCGCGGCAATCCGGAAACAAAAACGCAGCGAGGGGTGGCGGACTGGCAACATGTGCCTTTCGCGTGCCCTTTTCTGCGTCCTGTTGTCACTGATGTCGATCGTGCTGTGCGGGGTGGCAATGCGACGCGTTGGTTGCCTACACCTTTTGTCGGTCCGCAGGTCTTTACGGTGAAAGACAAAAGCGCCGGCGGTGTTCTTGTGGAGCAGAAAGAAGCCCCATCGTCCAGTACATCATGAAGGGGCGTGTTTTTATTGAGTTTCTTTTTTTTTTTCGTTTTTTTTTTTTTTAGGTTTCTGCATTTTTGTTGTTGTTTTTTTATTATTCGGTGCTATTGTCGTGTTTATTTGTCATTTTTTTTTCTTCTTTCTTTCTTTCTTTTTGTTTGTTTGTTTGTTTTTTACGTTCGCTGTGGAGCCGGTTTCTGAGCACTTTATGAACCTTCCGCTCATCTGTACAAACCCCTGTCAGCCAATTCACTCCTGTGTCCATGTGTGTGCCTTGATGGTTTTTTTTTTTTTTTGGTGGGGGGAGGGGGGCTGCATATTTGTTGTTTCCTCTCTTTTCTCTCTCTCTCTCTCTCTCTCTCTCTCTCTCTCTCTCTGTGTGTGTGTGTGTGTGTGGCTTTTGTTTTGTTTTGGAGTTTTTAGTTGACGTTCTTTCTTTGATGTTGTGGTGTCCACCTTTTTTTTTTTTTTACGTAATTTCCGAGGCTATTTCTGCAGTGAAGTTTGCCGCTGATATTCTTCTCCCCTCTGATTTCCCCCCCCCCCTTTTTTTTTTTTTTTTTCCTGCAGAAGTGACACGAGTTTATGCGAAATGGATGCACACAACGCACATGTCAGTTTTGCAGATGTCCCATGCGTCTCAGGCCCATCGTCACCATTGCAGCAGCAGCCCCAGTCACCGACTCCGCAAGAAAGTGGCGCCGACGTAAGTCCTTTTGTTAACGACGGCACTTTCCGCATACCTGTAACGTCCGATATTGTCGGCTCCATTCCACGTGTCAAGGTTCCCCGACAGAAGGGGTGTTCGATGCGCGACTGGAGTGTCTGCTTGGAGAAACAGAAGCAGGCATTGAAGCAACGGACATTGAAGCACCAGCGAGAGGAAGAAAGTGATGAGCGATGCCTCCTGGCGAAGAACTGCGGCAGGAGGATGCTGCCACGGCTGTCAATGCAGGAAGTTATGACGCACGCGACTCATGATGACCTGTGGATTGTGATACGCGGGGTGGTGTACGACTGCAATAAGTTTCAGTACTTCCACCCCGGTGGCGAAAAAATATTGCGGCGATGTGCCGGGAGGGACTGCACAGCGCTGTACGAATACTTCCATCCATGGGTCTCGTGTGAGGGGATGATGGCGCCATTTGCGGTCGGTGTCATTGAGGACGAGGTGCATGTATAGAGGCGTGTGTGCGGCGCTGTGGCAGCTGATGGCTTGTTTCTTCTACTTTCCAAGTACCGTCCGCCGATGCATGGACGCTTATCGGCTGTGGGAATGGCGGGGAGCTCGGTGGTGTTTTGACCTGCTCTTTTTTTTTTTTTGCCATTTGCCACTTCTTTTTTATTTATTTTTTTATTATTATTATTTGTTTGCTTGCTTTCTATATGTGTTTTTCTCTATTTTGCTTCTGTTGGTGTTTTTTAGAAGGTTTGCGTTGCTGTTGTTTGGGGGGGGGTGGGAGCCTTTGTACTTTTGGACCACATGTGTTTGTTGTGTGGAGGGGGAAGGAAGAAAAGGCGTGGGTCCTTCAGGA